CCCTGAAAATATAGTGGGTAAGACTAGACAAACAATTGCCTTTAAGTTGTGTGTATGAGAAGCACGTGTCCTGTGACAATGGCTTTGAGAATTCCTGACATGTGGAGCATAGTAGAAGGCAAAAAAAGGAACCAATCTTCACAGTTAATTGCCACAGACTCAGTTGTAACCCCAAAACACCGAATTCCCATCAGTAAGGGCAAGCCCTGGTCCCAAGATATTAAAATATTATGTTGGAGCACACAGTCAGCTAATAATAAGAAATCACTAATAATAATGATAGTAATAATTATTATGGTCTTTCTTTTCCATAGCATTTTTAATAAAATCACTTTTTCATATCTTGTTTCATACTGGTCTCACTTCAGCATTAAAAGGGATGTCGAACTCATTCATGCTAACACTGTGTTTTCAAATAAACAAACACCAAAAGCTTTAATTAATCTGATTAGCTCAGCCATGGAACCTGTTATGAGCAAAGTGAATCAGGACCAGAAACTTGGTCTCTTGTATCCCAGGCTGTCATGATTCCAATAGGATTTAAAGAACTCAGAGAAGCTAAATTAGTCTAAAGTTTTTGCCACAGGTTGAATCACTGTGGAATTTAAACAACATGATCTTTGGTGATGGAACAAAAGTTTTCGTCCTAGGTAAGTACCTGAAGAAGGGCATTTTTTGTCAAGGTGGTGGAGGGAAGGCAAGAAACAAATTGGAATAATAGTTTAAAATTTTGGGGAAAATGGGAATGCAAATGGGGATTAGATGTAGGAGTTTAGGAAAGATATTAAAACAAATCCTTAGAGCATACCATAGACAACTGTGCAAAAATATAGTAGGATTTGGGTTTGTGAACATGTGGACTTATATAAAGGGTTCCTGTATAATATATGTGATCATCATGAAAGTGTTTGGTTCAAGGCCAAAGTTGGTTATTATAGGTAAGTTTTGTGAGCTGACACATTTCCTTTCCTGATGGCAAAGGGGTGTTTTCAAAGAACCTGGCTTTGGAGTCACTCTGATCAGGATGTCTGGGTCTACCATTTACTATTTATGAGCACTTGGTCAGTTATTCTTTGGCCTCGGTGTCTGAATCCTCAAAATGGAATAGCCATATGTGTCCAGCAGGTATGGCATGAGAATTCAGTGAAAGCCTGTCAGCAGTGTCCCTGACATGCTGTGTAACATATTGTTGGTGCTGGATAGGTGTGTCCACACTCCATTCAAATGCGAAGGGAAAGCTGCACCCAGGAAGGAGGGTTGTTTGCAGCCAAAAATATTGGCAGAAGAGAAATTCTTCAGAGGATGCAGTTGTACTTCTAACTCCTTAAACAAAAAGTTATCTTACTGTCCACTCACACACAGAGAATTGAATTGGGAGGTATTTGTCTCTCTTTAACAGACTGCTTTCTATTTGTCAAGAAAAATGAAATGAAAATGTATTTGTTTTTATATTTGTTGTTCTATGTGCTTTACATCTGAATCCTTTCACTTCATTGATATCATCTCTTAACACAAACATTTACTGGCCCTTAGCCAATAAATTTGGGCTTCATGATCTTATTTATCAGAAAAATTTTAATTCATAAGTTAAATGATCGTGATATGAAGTCAATTAAATATAGATACAAAGGTCATAATATAATTTGCTTATTTAAATGTGAAATAGTTCTAATTATTTAATTCATAAAATGTAAGGAAAAATAGAGTACTCTTAAGCAATAAAAACACAGTATGTGATGGGAGAAATATACAGTATCTTACTATTATAATCAATAAAATAGTATTTACATCATGAGTGAAGTGTATAAAATTAAACACACTAGGACCTAATTGTATTTACAACGTTAAGTTTTAAAATGACCTCTGTTTGCTTACTTCTTTAGTAGAAAACTCAGGAATTTTGCTACAGAGGAAAAATTTCTCAAGAATTTTTTTCTTTTTCTTTTCAAATGAGAAGTTTGATTTTTTCTGTTCTTAAGAAACTGACCTCAGAATGCTAAACTAGCTCAAAGAGAATATGAGTAAAGTATTTGTGTTTCATTTGGAAATAAATTGGAAAGAGTTTTAACATTTATAATTTCAACCATTACTTTAACCATAAATATATAATCAAGAAACATTCCAGCATTTAAGTGGGATCATTTGCAAACTATGTTTTGTTATATATGTTGACACCATGTCTATAAGAAATTCAGGAAGCATACATTTAATTTTTAATTATGTATACTTTATTTAGCAGATGAAAACACAGTAAACCATGGAGCTCTAAAGAAGTTCAGCAAACTTACAGGGTAGATTTAAAACTGGGGGAGACACAGAGTCAAAATACTGTGCATTCTTAACCATGCTTAAACTTGAAATGAAATTTCAAAAGAAAATGTACCTTGGTAAACATTCTCTAAAGTGAAGCAAAATTCTGATAAATGCATTACTTGATAAGGTTTATATAAAGCATGTCAGAAAATTATACATTTTTATTAGAAGTTTTGGAAATATTGCTATTTTGTTTCCAAATTCAAGGCACTGTAAACAGTCAGCTCCTCCACTCAAAAATCTGAAAGTTTTCAGATCTGAAGTTTGGATGTTATATAAAATTAGAAACCCACCAGAAGAATCCCATCACTTCAGAAATGGGCAGGTGATCCACATTTGAAGCTGTAAGTTCAACATCACAGATTGTCAAGTACGCAGGGACACTAATTCCCATTATAAAAAATGACTGTATATTGTCTAAAAATACAATAAATTTCCTACTGACATTTATTTATATGAGAAGTAAGATCAGTTCAGTTCAGTTCAGTCGCTCAGTCGTGTCTGATTCTGCGACCACATGAACCTCAGCACACCAAGCCTCCCTGTCCATCACCAACTCCTGGAGTTTACCCAAACTCATGTCTTTTGAGTCGGTGATGCTATCTAACCATCTCGTCCTCTGTCGTCCCCTTCTCCTTCTGCCTTCAATCTTTCCCAAATCAAGGTCTTTTCCAATGAGTCAGCTCTTCGCATCAGGTGGCCAAAATATTGGAGTTTCAGCTTCAAAGTTAATCCTTCCAATGAACACCCAGGACTGATTTCCTTTAGGATGGACTGGTTGGATCTCCTTGCAGTCTAAGGAACTCTCAAGAGTCTTCTCCAGCACCACACTTCAAAAACATCAATTCTTTGGCACTCAGCTTTCTTTATAGTCCAACTCTCATATCCATACATGACTACGGGAAAAACCATAGCCCTGACTTTGTTGACAAACTAAGATAAATATGGTTCATCCCAGGGTAGTTAAATGAAGCTCCACAGAGTTGCAAAACATGAGGATGAGTTATGTGGCCAAAGAGAGCACAAGTTACAAAACAGGATAGGAAGGGAAAATAGTAGAGAGAAGGGAACTTTCCTACACTGTTGGTGGGAATGCAAATTGGTGCAGTGACTATGCACAACAGTAGAGATGTTCCTTAAGAGACTAAAAATAGAGCTGCCATATAATCCTACAATCCCACTCCTGGTCATATTCCCAGAGAAAAACATGGTCTGAAAAGATACAAGCAACTCTATGTTCATAGCAGCACTATTCACAATATCCAAGACCTGAAAGTAACCTAAATGTCCAATGACAGAAGAATGAATAAAGAAGACATGGGGTGTGTGTGTGTGTGTGTATATATATATATATATATATACAGTATATATATATATATATATATACTAGAATAGTACTTAGCCATTAAAAAGGATGAAACAATGCCATTTGCAGCAACATGGATGGACCTGAAGATTGTCATACCAAATGAAGTAATTCAGACAGAGAAAGAGATAAATGTCATCTATCTCTTATATGTAGAATCTAAAAAGAAATGATACAATTGAAATCATTTACAAAATAGAAACTGACTCTCAGAGAACAAACTTGTGGCTACAGGGGGGAAGGGTGGAGGGAGGAACAGCTAGGGACTTTGAGACTGACATATACACACTGCTATATTTAAAATGGATAACCAACAAGGACCTACTGTATATAGCACAGGGAAGGAAACTTTTCTCAATATTCTGTAACAATCTAATTGGGGAAAGAATTTTAAAAAGAAGAGATACATGTATACATATAACTGAATCACTTTGTTGTACATTTGAAACTAACACAGCATTATTAATCAGCTATACTCAAATATAAAATTAAAAGTTTGAAAAAAGCAAAAAGTCAAAGATACTCACCTCTAGAGAAACTATCAGAGTTACCTGGACCTCTCCCCCATTCTCATTCCCACCACACACCCAAACACTTCATTTTTTAAATATAATTTTATTTTTTAAATTTTTGTCTGTGCTGCATCTTCTTTGCCGCAACATGGGCTTTTCTCTAGTTTCAGAGAGTGGGGCTACTCGTCATTGCAGTGCGGGCTTCTCATTGCAGTGGCTTCTCTTGTTTGAAGCTTTGGCTCTAGGGCATGGGGCTTCATGGTTGCAGCACAAGGGCTCAGTAGTCATGTCTTCAGGGCTCTAGAGCACAGACTCAATAGTTGTGGTGCAGGGGCTTAGTTGCTCGAGGCATTGGGATCTTCCGGATCAGGGATCAAATGTGTGTCTCCTACATTGGCAGAAGAATTCTTTACCACTCAGCCATTAGGAAAGCCCACCCATCCACTTTAAAACAGGCTCCACTATGATAGAACAAAAGAGATGTTAAAAAATAAATGTGTTCATGAATTTTGGAAGGAGATAAAACTCATAACCCATCTTACCATGTGGAAAAAGAACAAAGGCCAATGTGTGATCCAGGTTCTACTATGCTAGCTGTGACTTTGGGCAAGCTACATAACCTCTTGAACATCTCTTCCTATTGAAAATAAGAAGGATAATAAGTCCCTTACAATCCACTGTGAATGGAATCCATGGTGAGCACTAATTCAGTGACAAGTTTTCTTCCTTTTATTACATGCTAGTTTATTCCATGTTTCTCTGTGTTTCTCTAATAACCATTTTAAATTCTTTTTTATCTCCCTCCGCAGATAAAAAGCTTCCTGCAGATACTTCCCCCAAACCCACAATTTTTCTTCCTTCAATTAATGAAGTCAACCATCAACAGGCTGCAACGTATCTTTGTCTCCTGGAAAAATTTTTCCCTGATGTTGTTAAGGTTTCTTGGAAAGAAAAGAATGGCAACAGGGTTCTTCCATCCCAGCAGGGAAATACCATGAAGACCAATGACACATACATGAAGCTCAGCTGGCTGACAGTGACAGAAAACTCCATGAAGAAAGAGCACGTATGTATCGTCAAACATGAGAAAAATCCAGGAAGAAAAGATCAAGAGATTCTTTTTCCTGCAGTGAATGAAGGTATGTGAATATAAACACAAGTATAAATATAACCTCCCTTGGGCTTCCCTAGCGGTTCAGTGGTAACGAAATCCACCCGCCAATGTAGGAGACATGGGTTTGAGCCCTGGGTTGGCGAGATCCCCTGGATTAGGAAACACAAACCCACTCCAGTATTTTTGCCTTGGAAATTCCAGACAGAGGAGCCTGGGTCACAAAAGAAGAGTCAGACACAACTTAGCAACTAAACAACAATAACCTCCCAGAATACAGTTTTTCAAAGACAATACCCCAACTTTTCTGTCAAGTCAAATAAACACGTCTTTCTAAGATGTTGTTATGTTTAATGGTAGCATAAATATCCTGAAATTTCCACTAGAATTAAAATAGTACAGTCAAGGGAACATTAAAACAAAAAAGAAAAAATAATTTTTAAGCTTTCTCAGCCTGTTTCATCTTCCAAAATATTACAGTCACAATGATGATTTTAGGGTCTTTGTATGGATTAAATGAAAGAAAATATATGAAAGTGTCTAGCAACTTAGTTCACAACAAATTTGCAAAAAGAAATTTCACTTTTGATTGTCTTGATCAGGAAATAAGAACATTTATATATCTTTCAGGAATGCTCTACTCACCAAGCAGTCATTCTCACTTTAATCCTGCTTTTACTCAAGTATAAGTCAGAAACAGTGGGTTATTAAATGACAAAATGATGTTCTTATGAAGAAACCAGATTGCAGTTCAACAAAAAGTATTGAGTTGGCTAAAAAGTTGATTTGGGTTTTTCATAAGATGTTATGGAAAAAACTTGAAAGACCTTTTTGACCAACTGAAGAGAATAATTTACTGCTGCAGTTTTATTATGGTCTTAGTTAAGATTTGTACTTTATTTACTACCTTGAAGTTAAAATTTGTAATTAAAGATCGGGTGAGACTAAAGTGTGCAAACTTATTCCCACTGTACATAATGAATGTATTTCTTGCTATTAGAAAAGGTCTTTCAAGATACTTTTGTTGTAGCCCAGCACATGCTAGGTCTGGAGGAATGTGTGGATGGACACACTCGGGTGAATTACTGTCCTAGGAGGATGCACTACAGTTAAGAGAATATACACTTTCCTGGATGACTCAGGGTCACTTGTGATCCAGGCATGACATCCCGAAGCAGCCCCTGTGAGCAGATGCTGGACGTGTCCACGCGGTGGGGGCAAAGTGCGGGGTGTATCTTGACCTTGACGGTGGTCTTCTAACTCACTGGACTCAGGGCTTAACGTCTCAGTGATTCACCTAACAGACCACAGGCCACAGTGCCCATCAAAGGAATCACTGTGTGCTTTTCCCTGTGGTTAGGAAGCCTTTTTAAGCAGTGGGAACCAAGCATATAAAATGTGCACAGACATTGGCTGTGCACCAGTCTGAATTTCTGAAGTAAGTCTTTATCTTCTCTGGTTCTTAGTTTGTCCAATGATCAAATCAAGCTTGAACATTTGCCTTGGCTTTGTCCTGGGACTGCAATGAAGAGCAAATGAAATAAAGTCAGCAAAAAATTGCATTCCAAAACATAAATGGATCTATTTATTCATGCATCTACTGTATTATTTACATTCTTTCTTTAAACTAATCAACACTAAGATTACAGAAACGGCCCTAAATTTCTATTTCCACTCATTCTTCTCTAAGAAATACATAATAAACAAATTTGCTAAGTGCAGCTTAATATAATCATGGCTCTAACTGTCCTATTAGGTTTTCATTTTTCTGTGATTAAGGAAAAATAAAAAGGGTAGTAAGTTTCATGGTGATAATTACCATAGGGGAGACAAGTTCCCTTTTATCATGTGTGATACTTCGCACTTAATTTCTGAAATAAATGTTTCCCATGGGTTTCATGGCCATATAGCTAAAGAGGGCATTTCTGTAAATTTCATTCTTTAGTAAATTTCTAATGCTATTTTTGGGAAGTTTTTTGTTTTTGATAAAAGTTAAGAATATTAGATGGGCTTCTTTGGTGGTTCAGATGGTAAAGAATCTCCCTGCAATGTAGGAGAATAGGATTTTATTCCTGGGTTGGGAAGATACTTTGGAGAAGAGAATGACAACCCACTACAATACTCTTGCCTGGAGAATCCCATGGACAGAGGAGCCTGGTGGGCTACAGTCTATGGGGATGCAAAAAGTCGTACACGACTGAGAGACTAACTTTCACTTTCAAGAGCGGTGTGTTGTTGTTCAGTTTCTCAGTGGTGTCTGACTCTTTGTGACCCCATGGACTGCAGCATGCTAGGCTTCCCTGTCCTTCACCACCTCCCGGAACTTGCACAAAATCTCGTCTATTGAGTTGGTGATGCCATCCAACCATCTCATCCTCTTGTCCCCTTTCCGTCCTGCCTTCGATCTTTCCCAGCGTCAGGGTCTTTTTCAATGATACGGCTCTTGACATCAGGTGGCCAAAGTATTGGCAGTTCAGCTTCAGCATCAGTCCTTCCAATGAATATTCAGGGTTGATTTCCTTTAGGATTGACTGGTTTGATCTCCTTGCAGTCCAAGGGACGCTCAAGAGTCTTCTTCAACACCACAGTTCAAAAGCATCAATTCTTTGGTGCTCAGCCTTCTTTATAGTCCAACTCTCACATCCATACATGACTACAGGAAAAACCTAGGTTTGACTATACGGACCTTCGTTGGCAAAGTGATATCTCTGCTTTTTAATACACTATCTAGTTCTGTCATAGCTTTTCTTCCAAGGAGCAAGCGTCTTTTAATTTCATGGCTGAAGTCACCATCCACAGTGATTTTGGAGCCCAAGAAAATGAAGTCTTTCACTGTTTCTGTTGTTCCCCATCTGGTGATGGGACCAGATGCCATGATCTTCTTTTTTTAAATTTTGGGTTTTAAGCCAGCTTTTTCACTCTCCTCTTTTAACTTCATCAAGAGGTTCCTTAGTTCCTCTTCACTTTCTGCCATTAAAGTGGTGTCATCTGCATATCTGAGGTTATTAATATTTCTCCTGACAGTCTTGATTCAAGCTTGTGCTTCATCTAATCTGGCATTTCTCATGATGTACTCTGCCTCTAAGTTAAATAAGCAGGGTGACAATATACAGCCTTGACGTACAACTTTCCCAATTTGGAACCAGTCTGTTGTTTCATATGTTTCTCAGGAAGCAGGTAAGGTGGTCTGCTATTCCCATCTCTTTAAGAATTTTCCACAGTTTGTTGTGATCCACACAAAGGCTTTAGCATAGAAGTAGATGTTTTTCTGAAATTCTCTAGCTTTTTCTATATATGTTGGCAATTTGATCTCTGGTTCCTATGTCTTTTCTAAAACTAGTTTGAACATCCAGAATTTCTTGGTTCATGTGCTGTTGAAGCCTAGCTTGGAGGATTTTGAGCATGACCCTGCTAGCATGTGAAATTATTGCAATTGTGCAGTAGTTTGAACATTCTTTGGCATTGCCCTTCTTTGGGACTGGAGTGAAAACTGATCTTTTCCAGTCCTGTGTCCACTGCTGAGATTTCCAAATTTTCTGACATATTGAGTGCAGCACTTTAACAGCATCATCTTTTAGGATTTGAAATGGCTCTGCTGGAATTCTATCACATCCACTTGGAAGCACAAATCATGAAGTGATTTTTGAATGGATAGAAAACTAATCAGGTCCAAGTTTTTGACCAGTCTTGACTGAGAAAGAGGTCTTAGTATACACTGCAGTTTATGCTGAAATTTTTTTACTTTTTCACCTCAATCAATTCATAGTAATAAGAGGTTTGTTCATCTTTAATGAACATAGTCACTGCAAGCAAAAGAAATAAAGTCACAAACAATTTTTTCTGGTTGTGCTGAGTCTTCGTTATTCTCTGCAGGCTTCCTCTGGTTGTGGTCAGTGGGGACTACTCTTCTTAGAGGTGCTTGGATTTCTCATCGCAATGGCTTCTCGTGCCATGGAGCATGGGCTAAGTAGTTGTGGGACATGGGCTTAGTTGCCTTGTGGCATGTGGAATCTTTCAGACCAGAGATTGAAACCATGTCCCCTGGATTGGCAGATGGATTCCCACCCACTGTTCCATCAAGGAAGTCCCAGAGAGAGTGTTTTAAGACACATTAAGGTCAGTTCTTGAGGATGATTATATTAATATTTTCACTCTTGGCATTTACTGCAAAGCCTTTACAGCTCAAATTCATTTTTTATAGTGAAAACTGATCTCATTGAGGGCATAAAATGGCATACCAGAACCAAATCCATATGGATAAGAACATATCCAGAAGAAAAGTAATAAACCAAAAAACCACTGTGACTCTGTTTTCCTGGATCCAGTTTCTTTTTAAAAATATTTATCTGGAATTTTCTATCCCTGGAATTGCACTGAAGTGTTGACCTCCTATAATAAACGAGGTCACTGATAAGAATAATTAAGATATCTGGAAAAGAAGATGCTTTTAGTGTCTACAGTAGTAGAATTCTGTTGCTCATTGGTTACTTTCTCTCTCTTTCTGTGGCTTATTTTACAAAGTACTTTCCACAGGCCCTGTCTCATTTAATCTCCCACGATGATCCTTTGAATGTTGGCTCTGCCATCACTGGTACGATTGGTACAACTCTCTGCTAGTCACTTTCCCTCTGATCCTTATTTCTTCTTTTGTAACATGGAATCCTCCAAAATACACCTCACTCCAGTGTCACTGGAAGATTAAAGAAGGTAACACATGTGAAGTAGTTAAGCTAGTTATAGTTGCTCACTAGCTATTAGCTTTATTAATATTGTTTTCATTTTGCCC